GGGGGGACAAAATAAACTTAGAAAAGTTTCCACACTCACAGGCAGACATGGAGCTCCAGGACAGAAAAAAAAAAAAAACTAGCTCCAGGGAAAATAAATTATGTAAAGCAGAGGAAGAGAAGTTTCACACACACTGCACAGACATGGAGGTCCAGGATAGAAAACTACGAAAGCAGAGGAGAAGTCTCCAAAATAGGAAAGTACCCACCTTAAGGGCCAAAAAAAAAAAAAAAACTCAGAAAGTTTCCACATACACAGCACAGACTCAGCACAGACATGCAGCTCCACGACAGAGAACTAGGAAAGGAGAGGAAAAGTTTCCAAAATAGGAAAGTACATACCTTAAGAGCCAACCGCCACATCCGGACATCCTTGAGCTTTCCAAAAACAGCCATGAGGTCAGCCATTGTGCCTTCATCAACAAAGACCTCCATGACTTTCCACAACTCCTCGTCCGACTTCGCATCCCTCAGTTTTTGAGTCGTCTCCTCGGCACATGAACTACCTATATTGAACAACGACATCCTCATCGAACTACCGGTCTTAGACGAGGACATCGTATCCAAGCTCTGCGAGGTGGTGGTCCCCACGGTCCCATTCTCAGAGGGAGTGCCAACATCATCACTGGCAGCAGCTGGCAACCCTCTGCCGTCCTGCCCCTGCTTTGTTTTCCCTGCAGATTCTCTCCTGTACAGGAGAACATAGTTTTCTTCCAGACTCGAACCAGCGACCTCTTCCAACTCTTCCGAAGCAGATGTTGATTCCGACACCAACTTCGTCAATGCCGAAGCAGTCGCGGCAGCAGCAGATACAGATGCGAACCCAGACGAACTCTCAGCAGACTCCGACTCTAATGACAAAGGAGAAGACGACGACGGCGAAGAAGAAGCAGAAGAGTCATCAACCAATCCTGGCACACTGTCAAGGAAGGAGTTGGCAGGAGCACGGTCTCTTCGACTACTACGAAAAGGCGATGTGTCTCCGCCCGCTACAACCCATTGTCGCAGCTGAGGATCAGCAGGTATGCTAGGGTTCTCCTCCCCGGCCGCCTCGTCAAGTACAGCGCATTCCACCAATCCTTCGTGTAAAGTGACCTGTCTTCTGTTGCCAGCACCCCTCGCTAGGCAGCTGCCATCGGCCAACCTGCAGCTACCTTGTCCTCTCCGTTTGCGAAGAGGCAAGATTAGCCAAGCATCACACTGGTGGTGGTAATCAGCAGTACCGTCCCGGGCTGCTTTCCAGGCATCGGCGAGCAGGGGGCAGCTTCCTCGGCAAGCAGGGCTTCTCGTGGCAGCTGCAACAGCGGCACAGGTAGTCCGCTGGCCCCAGTCGTCTTTCGCATTGAACGATGCCAACTGTACTCTGCTGCGGACAGCGATCCCTGATTCGGCTTTGCTTCGGCAAGACTTCTTCCCATACCTATCTTCACCGTCGGTCCCGACCAGTGCATTCCTCTTTGTCGACAGACATTTTTGTCTTCGGCAGAGCTCCCCACAGCGGAGAACCCACCTTCGAGTCCTTCGCAGAGAAAAAACTGGCTGGCTAAGAGTCCCTGCTAAGTCCCCACCACCGTCGCCACCACTGCAAAACTGAAGCCGAAGCTTTTCATCAAGCAAACCTTCACTCCTAACAACACTCCCAACACAGGACTGGTTACAACACCAACCACTCATTGCGTCTCCTCCCTACTTCTCTGCCTTCTATTCTGCTCTCCCTATTTCCCTCCCCCCTGTTGTTCTCTCCCTCTTCCTCCTTCCGAAGAGAACAAATGTGGAGGAGTTGCTTCGGACCACCGACAACTCAGAGAGGATCTGCTCGCAGCAGTCCTGCACCGTACATTCAACGAACACCTGCGCGCATCAGTCTCCCCTATTCTGCTCTCCCTATTTCTCTTCCCCCTGTTGTTCTCTCCCTCTTTCTCCTTCCGCAAGAGGAAGGATGGTGAAAAGGCGCTTCCAAACACCGGCAACTCAGAGACGATCCGCTCGCAGCAGTCCTACAACATATGTACATCCAACGAACACCTGCACGCAGCAGTTCTATCCTCTGGCGAAACCACCGGATCGAGCACCACAAGACAGTTTTTGTCGTCTTTGCTGTATTCGACCCACCACTCTATGGAACAAGCCTCTTATCTCCCACACTAACAGATGGATGCGGAGGTGGAAAGCGACACCCGTCCCGGATCTTATCTTGACGAGAGTCACACTAACCGATGACCACCCTTCACACAAGTTTGCAGAGACAATCACAAAGTTTGCAGAGACAATCACAATCACCACCTTGTCATATGTGCCTGGAAAGCGGAAATTACTTATGTCCCTTAATCTTGACCAAGTCCCTGTCCATGGGCAATGGAAGACGAGCACTTCTCCAAATCTTCCTGGTGGTTTGGAACATATCTTGCACTTGAAAGCTTTAAAATTGCATCAGCAGAGAGACTACCTGATCTCTCTTCCTCCCTCCCATCCTATGTCCGCGCATCCCCCGTCCCCACTCCCTCTTCGACCTTGCGCAGGGGGTGCATGCATTCACTTGACCCTCTCTTCTGATGATTTGTTCCAGTCACCAGACTCTATACTTTGCCGCTTCTGCCAACTAGCCCACAGCTTCGACCAATGCCGACCGCGTCTATTTTTAGTTAGTTCACCTGCCTTCTTATTTCCAACATGTTGGGGGCTGCCTCTGGCTATGCCTCCACTGTGTCCCTTTTTTTGCAGTGGCAAGAATAACAGAAACACCGGGTGAATCAGTAATTATGTGAGCAGAGCAACAACACACACAAAAAAAAAAGGGAAAAAATAAAATAAATCAAGAAAGAAATTGAGGGCATTCTCACACTACCCGGTAGGACTTTTTCAACTCAGCTCTGGGCATAACTGCCATCAGATACACCCAGCTCTGGCCGCAATTGCGGTCAGATACATACAGGAAAGTCCTCCAGTGAGTATGCCCTGAGAGAGTACCAGAACAGTCAGGAAAGGAAGCCAAAGGAGAGAATGCATGACACACAGCAACTAAGGCAGACTTGAGGAAAGTACCGTGCACGGTGTCTATCTATCTTATCGGGTTCCACAAGGTTCTCAGCAGACAAGGAAAGAGCACCAAGACAATGGGAACTTTAGTCTCTCTCTCTCTCTCTCTCTCTCT